GAGTGGAGGGCGTTCCATGGTTCAATCGAACACTCTTTTCAAGCGATCTCCGTTTCTATAACTAAACGACTCTCTCTCTCTTTGCATATCTACACAAGAACTCTTGACCTGGACCCTACCGTCCCACTTAGGTGTCTGATGGTCACCTCTGGCTTTGACAGAAACGCTCCATCCCTTCATCTTTCGTCCTTGGTACTATGAGCATGTAGCTACGGGCAGGATGTATACGAACCGCAGACACTATCCACTAGTGAGTGGCCAAAAGGGCTATTTCTCACCTGCGAATTGATCTTAATGAATTAATAAATTGAGCACGATCTGGTATATCTGACCACCTACAGCGTAATATGGCCTTAAATACTTTTTTAAAATAAGGATGTTTTGTGGCATATATAAGTGGATTTAAACAACTGTTAAATAATAATACTAATGCGGCGTACGGCGTAGCTTTGATCGCACCGTTACCTGGCAACAGAAGACACACATTGTATGGAGTGGCACAGAAAACATATAGAACCACAACGTAAAATAGATTCTTCGTAACCTCTACTTGGGTTTTACTTAACCGCTTTCTTGCAGACTTATTGAGGGTGGACCTTATAGTAGGCCTTTTACCTTTAACTGAAGGCTCTCTCATTTCGATGGACGTTGTAGAATTATTAAGTCCTTCGGATGATATTAATTCAGATTTCATTGTTTTTACGTGCAAACGAATATGTAAGAAAACACGTATATAACAGTATATCATGATACAGAACGGAATCGGGTAGAGTATAGCGGAGACAATGAAGCTGTATGTAGCGGATTTTGGATGTGTTGAGTCCCACGTGCAGGTGCTGTAACGTGGGTCATATCCAAGTTCCCCCACTCCGAACAATCGGGGAATCAACGCTGTAAAAATGGAAATACCCCAGATGAGCACCAGCACAGCCACCAATCGCGATGTTCGGAGTAAGCCAATGTTTCGGTAGTCCCGTGCTGAACGCTTAATAACAACTAAACGCGTGACAGCAATCATAGCTAGCGTATACAGACTACTGACGATGCAGATGATAGCCATGGCGGCAGCGAAGCTACAAACACCTGGTGCCAGTGGCCACCCGTTCTCCTCATTCAAAAACGCTATCATGTTCCATGGCAAGTTAAGAACTGTCGCTAAGTCAGTAATGGCGAGATTTACAACGAACACGTTAGTTCCTGTACGCAGCCGACGAGACACGATGACGGACAGAATGACGAGGCTATTTCCGAATGTTCCAATAACAACACAGATGCCAAGAAAGATAACCCAGAAGATGCGCTCCCCTCTGGACCACGTAACCGGTGGGTCAATCGTCGTCATGTCGTCATAATAAATAAATGAAGTTGCGTTATCCTCTAGATCCATTTTCCCTTCAAATAAAAATACAAGCAATCGTTAAACAAGAGATCCTGGAGAATTTCAAAAATAATATTGTCATAGGCTATCTCACAAAAATGAATAGTATAAGCATGATATTGATAGCAATAACAATTTACAATGATAGTTATAGCATTTTCTTTGTAAAAAGAAAGTCCGTGCGATGATTTAATGATAAATACCTATATATAAAATCTGTAATTTAAAAAATAATAACAAAAATAATAATAATAATAATAATAGTAATAATAATAACAATAATAATAATAATAAAACAAAATGGAAAATATTAATAGATATAATTAAAAACTAAAAATGATTGAATCAGTCTTCGATGGACAGCTAATGACTTGAATAATAATAATAAACATAATAATAATAATAATAATAATAATAATAATAATAATAAACATAATAATAATAATAATAATAATAATAATAATAATAATAATAATAATAATAATAATATTTTATTATATTAAAAATTATTTAATAAACATTGAAGCCTATTGCGTTATTTATTTTTAAACTATACATCGTCTGGTGTATTGTGTTGCTCATTAAAAAGAAGGAATAAAATGAGATATTACAGGCAGACGTTTTTCTACAAAAATATAAAATGTTTAGGGATCAGGTCTATAAATTATAGATGAATGAAAACATTCACAAATTGGTATAAATAATAGACTTGGGAATGAGCGAATTTTTACGTCCTTTAATGTAATTTCCTCATTTTATTTGTAAATAAATAAATTATTAATATTGCTAATTAATAATTACATAATTATTTATTGAATGATAAATACCTATATATAAAATCTGTAATTTAAAAAATAATAACAAAAATAATAATAATAATAATAATAATAATAATAATAATAGTAATAATAACAATAATAATAATAATAAAACAAAATGGAAAATATTAATAGATATAATTAAAAACTAAAAATGATTGAATCAGTCTTCGATGGACAGCTAATGACTTGAATAATAATAATAATAAACATAATAATAATAATAATAATAATAATAATAATAATAATAATAATAATAATAATAATAATAATAATCTTTATAGAATGTTTTTTCGGTGCATATATTCAAGTTTTTAGTAGAGATATTATATGAACTTACATGTCAATGAGCAATTATAGGCCCATATTTTACTTCTTTGAAGGACTTTTTTATATATATTTTAATACAATACATTATTTAAACAAGAGACATCGTCACGTGTATAGAACAACGTGCTACCTGTCATACCATTGGGATCCTGTTTACTAATAAAACAATATCTAACAGTAGAAAAAATGTGTTATTATCATTAGACTGATGTGACATTTTTATAAGAAGGTATTTTGGTTATGTGAAAGTAAAAAAATGTAATGAAGAAAAAAAGAAGCTTTACTAGTTTTTGAGTATTTTTTACTTTCTACTTGTATGCTTGTGATATTTACCGACTCTATACGGCTACTATAATGTTTATATTCAGAAGAATTTGCCTTTTTTTCTAAAACAGGCTGTGTTTAACATTTAATATAGGCCCATTGAGTGTCGAAGACTCAGGAGCGGTGGTTCGTCTTAAATAGATTCACAATGACTATTTATGGAAGTTTGGCCTTATTGACAAGTCACTTCCAAATTTTCAATGAACAGACCGCTGCTGATCTCATTATAAAGGATTACTACTTCCGTTTTTCTGTCAAAGTGCCTGGACTTTCTTTTCTTTTCTTCTTTCTTTTTTTCTCTATTTTTCGGGTGGATCCGACCCAGATAACGATTGATTGAATGATTTGATAGGCCTAATGCATGCATATTGGCAAAGCTTCGCTGGAACTTAGATCAATACACCGTGATTAAGCATGTAACCTACGCACGCTATGCACGTACTCAAATGACGATTTACGCATAAAGATACCTGTACCTTGTTGCACGCAAATATTCAAATTAAAAATGCATGTGCAAAATATTTGTTGATTATATTGTTAAATAGTCACACGATATCGTCTTATAATTAAATAGTCTTTTCAGCCTTCTCTAGGAAGATTGCAGCCCGATCACTTTGTGACCGAAAATACTTTGCTGATGTGCAAGAAGATCCCAACATTTTCTTTCCCCCTGGCCCCATGCCTCGTCGTTACGCCACTGATGTTGTAGCCAGAAATATTCTGGATTGAGGCCTAAATGGAACCAATAAGGTAATACCGAACCTGGCTTGAAACCAAAAGAGCAAACCATGACCAGTGAAATTATTTCCCCTCGTATATTTCCCTGAACCTTGGTGGTCGATCTTGGAAGAATTCCTTAGCAGCCAAATAATTATTGTTGGCAATTTCCGGGTTTATTGTTTCATGGGACAAGGCAGGTCATCCTGGGTGAAATCACGTGGAATACGCAATGATACAAGTTACATAGGCCATAAGATCGTGTTGTGAACTACTAAACATGTTAGTTGATACACATAACGTGAAAATATACATGATAACGTACTACATGCAATAGTGATATTCATTTAAAGATAGTGTACTAAACCGATAATTTCATCAGGTTGAAAAATTGTTAGGCCTACTATAGATTTGACATGACCATGACTCTATACCAAGAAGGTATTTATTGCTCTAAACCTTGGGATGAATTTCATGAGCGATTATTAAGTTTAGATGTGTAAGGCTTTAAAGAGGGAGAACACGGACGTAGCTAGGCAAACAGTCCTCTTATAGCAGTTCCATTTCGTTTATAATTCGCCCTGTCCTTTGAATCACGGAATACGGTCACATAGCCCAAGCTGGTTGAGCAAAAACTTAAACATCAATATTACTAAACATGAGAAATATAATGACAATAGACATATTGTTGTTCTATATTTCCAATCGACTTGGCACGGTCAAGGCTGGTATGTACTGTAGTACAGCAATACATTATTAAATTATTAGAAGGAAGTACTACCATAACAACTCCCTGGTACTACATACTACTACATAGCTACTAATACTGTAATCTAAACATTGAATTAATATTATAGTAAAAGGCATTTTACCAATTCAAATGAATTCGGCTACATCCCTACCTTTTGCTCAGAATATTACATTACACGTGAATGTTCGTTTCTTACCTGTTGTTGAGAAAACTTGAAATACTTTTTAGAACGTTTTAATACTGGGTCAGAAACGACCCGTTTAAACAATTGGTGTAGGCCTACAGCAGGTAATTTGACAAAGGTAATCCAAAGTGATACTAACTAAACGACCGTGTCTCAATAAATTTCGACGATTCTGTGTTTCATGGTCCACCGAATATTGTTCTATTTAAACATTTATGCCTACTGAAGCACGCTGTAATATGCAATAATAGTAGCGCGATTTTCATTGGATAACAGGCATGCTAAATTCGAATCCGCTTTCGCGAGTGACGCCATGAGATGCAAAAATTGCCAAATTCGGTGTCTCCCTATAGAGTACCTTAATTCTTCGCAGAATTTTTAAGCTATTTTAAAATTAATTATATCTCATTTAGGATATTACGGAGGTTGTTGTTGTTCCTGTTATATCAGAGAAGGAATAAAAATAATTACGATATACTGTATATA